CAAGCCCTGTCCAGATTTAAAAAGTAACGCAAAAGTAACGTAACGCATTACTTTCCATAAAAAGTAACTAAGTACCATAATTAGTTACTTTTTTATGGAGTAACGCAATATTGTAATGCATTACTTTTAAAAGTAACTTTCCGCAACACTGGTAATGACTTTATTTGCACTTCAACATTTTGCTTTTTATAAAAGGTGTTTTATTTTTTACGTGAAATGACTTCTTGAAGTGTTCTTGCTGTGAATGTGTTGTCACTGTGTTTTAATGAGAATTTGAACATCGCTTCAGTCTTATTGCCGGAGCCGTTCATATGGCTGTTCATATGTAGGTCGTCAGTTTGTTTGATGTGAGATTCTTTGAAGTAGCTCGCGAGATGTTTATGAGTACAGTTGTGGTGCCAAGAGGGATCATGAGGCATTTAATTACTAGTCAAGTGCTCGTATTATTTATAGAGCACCGTATAAATTAGCCTACCAGTTTATTAATTAGAAAATACTACTTTTAGAATTCAACAGTATCAATTGAGTGCCATACAGCTCTCTACTGTAGTGCTGACATTCAGTTGGGACATCAATTGGGAGAGTAATGTTTTTTTAAAATAACATGTTTCAGAATTTTTTTTTGTATATATCTTAAAAAAATTTAAGTAAATCAAAATCAAAAGAAGATACCGCAATGATCATTGTCAGGAAGAAACTCGCAGACTGATCTGGTATGGAGTAGAGTACCTAAATGAGTGGAGCAGAGCGAGAGATTTCTTCTGCCGATTCAAAGGAGATGGTCCTCACTGCAGAACACAAGATCCAGGGGGCGAGGTTGGATCCAGATCCAAATCCTATTGTCAGGAAGAAACTCGCAGACTGATCTGGTATGGAGTAGAGTACCTAAATGAGTGGAGCAGAGCGAGAGATTTCTTCTGCCGATTCAAAGGAGATGGTCCTCACTGCAGAACACAAGATCCAGGGGGCGAGGTTGGATCCAGATCCAACTCCTCCCACCTTACATATGCCTAAACCTACCCGTCTCCACCCCCTGATCCCTAAACCCACCCATCTCCACCCCTAAACCTACCAATCTCCACCCCCTAGATGTGGATCCAACCTCGCCCCCTGGATCTTGTGTTCTGCAGTGAGGGGCTACTGATTCAATCACTCAGCTTCAAGTACACTTCAGGTTTTACATTTTGCACTTAAGTACGCTCCATTTATATATATTCATCCTGTGCGACATTCATAGTTCACGTTCCTGGAGTGTGGAGCCCCCCAGCACTGCACATTTTGCATGTCCCCTTTGTCTGCCACATCTATTTCAGGTTTTGGAATCTCTAATAATGAGCTGATTACCTGAATCAGGTGTGTTTGATAAATGAGACATGCAAGCAGTGCAGTGTTGGGTCAGCTCCAGGAACATGGTTGTTGGTTATTTTCATTTTAGAATAGTAACAAATAACTGTAGTACTAGTGTGTGGTTTCCATGGTAATTTTTAAGGGACTGGAAGATTTCTTTGATTTCTTTTGTTCTGTATTTAGATATTAAATTTGGCATGTACCTTAACAGTATACTGATCATAGCCCCCTGGTCCATGTGCTATTGTGTTGACTATTTTGGAAAGATAACAAAATTTGATGGATAAGCACCAAGACTCTTTTGTGATGATTTTTCTGCTGTGATTCTGCTTACAGTTACTATATATGGGATCTGACTAGACAGTGGAGATGGTAGTGATTTAGTTTGTGGCTGTCATGCTCTGAGAGTTGTTCTGGTATATCAGTGTAAAAAAAAAAAAAACCGAAACAAACCAGACCTAAAAGCCAGACATCTCAAGCACTTTTGAGCCTGTTTCATTACTATGTTGATTTACAGCCGTAATCACTTTATCTGACAAAGACCAATTGTAAATGTCTACAAGAACAAGAAAGCACAGAGTTGTAGAGGTACCATTAGCTCACTAGGTCTTTCCAGTTCCTCTTGTATCATGATCCTGAGAACTTCAAAGCCTTGGACTCAATGGCTATTTGTCTTATCTTACCGTGGGAAAAACCAAATGGAAAACCATTTTCCCTCCGTTTCTGTGGCAGATGGTTGAGTGCAAAGAAAGACTGATAGGACGTCAAGGAAAGCCCTCTTAACAGTCTCTATCAGAACCACAAATTTATGGCCTTTTCAGATTTTTAAAACATTGCTTTGTCCGTAGCTAAGGTCCAATAAAGAGGCAGACTTTGTCAGACTGATTAAAGGAGAGATAGTGAGGCCTGGCACTCATTAACATTGTCTGCGTCTGATGCCACCGGTGTCTGGTCCAGGCTCCCCTGAGGAGCAGTCTGGCACCAGGCATGACACAGGCAGTGGTCAAAACCTCATCAATGGTGTGACTGCACCAGCAGAGATCTGAAGGACACCGTGCCTGGCAAATCTGCTTAAGGTCAAGACAATGTTAGCCATGTTATTATATCAAAAACATTGTAATGTTTTAATTTCACTTATCCGTTCTGAATACTGATGTTTGATGTTTGTGTTTGCTGCCGATTGTGATTTTGATATGAGGTTTAATCTGTGAATATTACAGATGGTGTCAAACGTTTATTATGTGGATACATCCTTATTATTGTGAGTGGATGAGACTGAAGAATGAGAGAGAGCTTTTAGTGTGTTTGTTGTAGTCTAAGTGTCACATATGGAATTGATTCGAAGAAAGTCTGGAGGGTCATCCAAGATATTTTATGAGCTAGCACCAGTTGAACAGTGTTGAATGAGTGGAGGGTGAATTACCATTGTTGAATGCAAATATTTGTTTTAAAAATCTGAAAGGGAAAGTTAAAAACCTAAATAGGTTTTTGATGGGGTTGTCAAAACATTTTGTCCCAGCAGGAGATTTAAAAACAAACAGTCACTAGTACAAAGGACCCTTGTCCAGTTTTCCACCCACTGAGTCAGGACCTTCCCAGAGCCCCATCTCTTTCATGTCAGGAATGCAGTATTCAGCAGCCGTGCATTCTTGGGCATTACTTCTTTATCATTTGCAGGTTTACAAAAAGAAAGAGACATTAAAGGGGATGTGGGTATTACATATGATAGATTTAATAGAAGATAAATTTGGTCACTGTTACATAGTTTGAATCACTGTATGTTTAATGATTGAATCGTTTTGCTTGTTGAATCACAGTGCCTTTTTATATTGTGTTTATGTTCTGTTAGGAATATCAATATCCTGTTAGGAATATCAATATCCTGAGAGTCTTTTTTCATTGTCACCTGTATGTTGAAGATATGCCTAAAAATAAAACATAAATATATATTAGCTTAACTTTATTATATTTTCATAGTTGAAAATGCAATCTTTAATTTTTAAATATTTTATATAATAATTTGTAATATTTTTTTAATACATTACTGTTCAAATATTTGGAGTGGATAAGATTTTTTAAATGTTTCTGATACTCAAAAAGGCTGCATTTATTTGATCAGAAACACAGTAAAAACAGTAATATTATGAAATATAATTTCAATTAAAAATTACTTTTTCCTATTTTAATATATTTTAAAATGTAATTTATTCCTGTGATGGTAAAACTGAATTTTCAGCAGCCATAACTCCAGTCTTCAGTGTGATCCTTCACATGATCCTTTAAAATATGCTGATTTGGTGTTTAAAAAACATATTTGTTATTATTATCAGTGTTGAATATTTTTGTGTAAACCCTGATACCTTTTGTTCAGGATTTTTTAATGAATAGAATGTTTTTTTTTTATTTTATTTAATGTGTCCTTGCTGAATAAAAGTATTAAAAAAATCTCACTCATCCCAAACTTTTTAACTTTTATTAAAAGGTGGTACTTTTTTGGGGGGGGGGATAATCCTTACAAAAAAGGTCCAGGTTTGTTGGTTTTACAATAGTGGACTGTTACCTTCATTTGAACAAAACGCACCCCAAAACTGGGAATATAAAAGCAGATGTTGTGGTATATCCCATCTGTTTCTTAGCTAATACTATTATTTGCTAAATAAACACATTCAGGGGGGCTTTAAGAGATAAAGAGAATCACACACTGATCAGAAAGCAACTTTTTTCTCTTTTGAATAGAGATAAGCTCTCTGCCCATTCCATCTGTCTGTCTGGTTAACAGTAATGTAAGTATCCTTCTTTCTGAAAAACAGGGTATTAAGTGTAACATTGTCAAAAACAGTATAAGAAAAACAATCTAACATGCCTACCAGGCCCATATCATCTCTGAAGCTTGGTACTGGAGGTCTAATCATCAGCTATATCATTGTAATAAATTATCATGATTGACAGATACATTAACTCAGCACTGAAGATGTGCAATAGACCCAACATATACAGTAGCCCACATAAGCCTGTATAGATGCTTTATGCACTGTTATCATGTTATCATGACTTCCTGTGTTGTGGGCCCTGGTCTGAGTGTGTGGTTAATATCAATGGGTAAGCCTGTGGATTTAGAGCAGCTGGCAGCCCATGCAGCTATTGAGAATAAGGATAAGATATAGTTAGAGGGATTGAGGCCAGTGTGTAGATTAAAGAGGGTGTTTGAGACCAGGATGCAGTGCTTGCTGCAAACCCTTTAATATCTGTATTCGCACCCAGAATGTCAACATATCCAACTCATCTTTTCCCACAAATATATATGTGATTTTCAGTTGTATTTTGTCTAATTTAGGCTATACTGAATTTAAAGACCCTTCTGCAGCTGTAATAGTTTCTAGGCAAAGTGTCACTCATGCTGATGGAATGAAGCTTTTGAACTGACAGTTTTGCATGCAGTCAACATTCCTTTTTTCCCACAAGACAGGGTGCAGGGTGGTGGTCATCACTAGCCACGGATGTTTTTAGTGTTCCTTATTTTTCCTTTTTTTCAAAAATTAAGCATTACGGTTTATATGAATAAAATGGAAAGCAACTTGGTAATATTAATAACTGCCAATCAGTGCAATGTCTTGATGAAGACAAACTAATTTTCACGATGAGCCTCAGGCCATTGTGGCTTAATTTCATGAAAAGGGAATTTACTTCTGTTCTACTGATTTTTGCCAATTCCACAGGCAAGTTAGAGGCACGGAATGTTCATATCTTGAAGGAATATTCTATTTTTACCCCATTTATTCCATACTAGTTACATTTGACCATACCCAGACCATGTTGCGTAATGAACAAATGGCTCCTCATTAAGATTTAGTATGGCTTTTATATAATAATAAAAGATTGAAAAAAGATCACTGCACTCAATATAAAAGCTCAGAATGACTGCAATGAATCACCCTATAATGTTATTTTTAAGGTTGAACCCTGATTCATGCACTCATTCTCAACTTCCTCTCCATTGTCATAAGGCAGAACCAGACAACCGCAGGAAATTCCCCCGTGCCCCTCTTATTAGCCCGTCTCTTGTCTAATCCTGGTGCGGCCTAAGGTGCAATTACATAATGTACTCATATTGTCCACATTTATAAGCACTGAGCCACAAGCAACTGAGGTCCTCATCCAAAACACTCTCCTACTTGTGAAAGTTTTGAAAAATGATAAAGTCAGTTCAGGAGATTATGGTCCTTTGTGACTTAATTAAGCATCTAAAACGTCTACAAATGAGTTATATAACACCCACAGAGGAGTTTGTGATGTTCAGTACATGTTTTCTTTAATGTAACCTTCTGTGTTTCATTGGGCACCTTAATGTTGTAAAGTTGGATCAGCTTATAGTCTCGTATTTGAGTTGCCTTGGACATTCAGAGTCATACCGTAGGTGTCCTGAAGGAATTACATAACATACTCAGTTTCCAGCTTAAAAGAAAAGCTTCTTTCTTGAGTACTAGGTTTTGGGTTGCCAAGGTTGTATTATTTAAATAACATTATTTATGAAGATAAATGTGCTCTGTCATTTTTTTTTTGTCTTACACAGCACTTTGGGATTTGAGTTAAGGTCAGGAATATAGCTGTTTTAACAAATTATTTGGATGATTGGATGTCTTGTTGGATCTCTTTTTTCTTGGTTGTTATTATTAGATGATGAACCATTTTAATGTCACATTTGTTTCTCAACAGTGCCTGAAGATCTCTCACTTGAAGAGAGAGATGAACTGTCCAACATTAGACGGAGGAAAAAAGAGCTGCTAGATGACATTGAGGTATCTGCTTTAATGTAGCCGTTATCTTTTAAAATCATTAAGATATTAAGTGATTGACATTTATCATGTCACCCTTCGCTACAAGTTCTACCTGATGGGGGCTGAATGTCATTGGTTGCACGATGTATTTTATAATACACTGCGTGCATTTTAAGAATATTAAGAAAGATTATTGATCAACTTGATTAACTTCAGTGATATAACTTAAGTAACCACTTTTTCTGTTATTCTTGCAGCGGTTAAAGTTTGAGATCTCAGAAGTCATGACAGAGATCGAACATTTAACGTGTGTCAGAGAGACGTATGTTTCTTTTTGTTTTACAGATTACAACGATTGGTTTAACATTGAGATAATATTAGTTCATGTTTGTTATTTTAAAAGAGAACTTTATTGCTTTTCACCACATTACAGCAAAAGCTCTCAGAGGAACAAGCAGATTGCTGTCGGAAGAAAGAAATTCAATATGGATCCTAAAAAGGTATTATTGTGTCTATTTCTTTATTCACCATACCATATATAAAATGATGTCCAGGGTCATGTGTTACGTTGAGCCTAAGCAAAATCATGAAGTGGTTAACATCTCAAACATCCTTGCAGGGAATCCAATTTCTTTTGGAGAATGATCTTCTGCAGCACACACCTGAGGACATCGCACAGTTCCTCTATAAAGGCGAAGGCTTAAACAAAACTGTCATAGGAGATTATTTAGGGGAACGGTAAGTGACATCGCTCTCGCTCACATAGCAAGACCAGTTTTGCGATCTTTGCAAAATATATGTGCGTTGTCAGATAAGGCCTTTCCATAAAAGATCCTGCTCTCTCAGGAAATGACTTCCTCATTTGTAACTGTAACGGGGCTGACGAGACGTGAGACGTGTGGATCCATCTGCAGGCTTTATTAAAGAGACGTGGTAAACAGGCAGGGTCAAACAATGGCAAACAGGTATATGGCGGGCAAAACACAAGAATAGTCCCAGGGCTAGCGTAGGTCACCGATCGGCAGACAGAATCACAGGGGCGAGACGAGAGGGAAAAATCCAGGAAAACAGGCAAAGATCAGAAACCGCGAAAACAGGCAAGGCAAGGCAAAACAAGGAAAACACAGAGACTCGGAATGGGGTACGGGCTAAACAATACTCAGCAGAGAAAGGTGGTAGGAGTGGGTGTTATATAGTGAGTGAGGTGATTAGAAACAGCTGTGTGCAATGAGTGCAATCAGTGCAGTGTGCAAATCGTGCAAAGAATGATGGGATATGTAGTCCGGGGTGCTATGCAACAGTTTGTGTTGTGCGAGAGTCAATGTAATGGAAAGGGTGACCTCTGGTGGTGAATAAACGGAAGTCCATGGACCGAATTCGTGACAGTAACAGCTGAAAATGACCACAAATTTCCAAAACAATATTTAGCATATCACCCAGACAGCATGAAGGCGCCTTATCTCACCCTTACCGACATCTATTAACACAGGATTAGATATAAAACATTATTATTGCCATCCAGTGCTACACCTGTCAGTATCAAGACAAATGAAGGTGTAATTGTAGTCGTAAAGGTCTGCAAAAAGTTAGTTGCTCCGCATTGTCCCATGAGGCATGTTTACAAAAAAAGAGACTAAGCTTGATCTACAGTGTAATAGTTGTTAGATATATAAATAGCCTTGTCTACGTAGGCATCCTGTCCAAGTTGATAACTGTTGTCTTGGCTGTGCTGTAGCCTGAAGATCAATTGCACATTCATCCCTTTCATTTGGTACTAGAAAGTGTGGTTATAGACTATACATAGCGATTACTGTTAATTGTAATTACGAGGAAGAGCCGGAAGCTGTAATTATTGTGTCTCTGATTAAAAGAGTTTGGAGATGTGGTTCTATCTTAGCTTGTGTAATCAGGCATGCTGTGGTACATCGCTTCATTCCACTTTATGTTCATATCTGTGTTTTTTTTAAGACCCTTGTATGTATTCAAATGATGGTTTTTATATCCATACACCAAACGTGGTCTTACATTATTGTTCTTGTGTGCTTTTTTAAATTGGTCTGAAACCCTGTTGTAGAAAACTGAACAAATGAACCGTGACTGACTCCTGAATGTATAGTCTGTACTGTTTTTTGATTGACCTCTGCTAAAATGAGTGCATGTATCTCTTGAGATGGAGCTTAGAGCGAATGAGGAAATAGCTATTGCTGATTAAACCTTATTTTCTCACTATTTTTAGAGATGACTTCAACATTAAGGTTTTGCATGCATTTGTGGAGCTTCATGAGTTTGCTGATCTCAACCTGGTGCAAGCATTGAGGTGAGATAGATGTTTTCTTCACCATCCATTATAACTATAAACACCACTATATGTTCTAAATATGGAAATGGAATCATAAGAAATGCCATCAAGCTATAGTATTTGTATATCTAGAACTTAACTGCAGAACTTTCCATTTTCAACAATCGCTAACAATTTCAATCATTTTTGCCCAGCTAACAACAAAAGAATGTTTTGCTAACATTCCTATAGTATAGTTTATGAAAATGTTATTTCTGAATATTCTCTGAATGTTCAGAACCTCCAGTTTTTGAAATGTTTTTCTTGGTTATACAAATGTTAGAGAAACCGTTAAGGGTATGTTCCATTTGATCATTTTGCAAAATTTACTAAGTGGTAAAATGTAATTAAAGATCAGGTAACCTTAAATTAATCTTCTAATAACATTAGCGGAAGAACAAACTTTGCAAGAAACCTGCCAGTTCTTTGAGAGAACTACTTTCTTGCTATTCAGAAAAACTACAACAAATTGCAGTGTTTGAATTAAAAGACTTGAAAGACTCTTTAAAAGACAGCAATATTTTAATGATTTTCAATCATGTTTGTTTTGTTTGATGTATAACAAAAAAAAATCAAATGGCACAAATGTTCAATAATTATAACATAATGTGAGTGATGTAAGCCATTCATTGTCTTTGTATCACTCTGTTACCTACGCTATTAAAATAAAATCATACATACTCATTTATTCCCTCATGCAAAGGTCCATCAAATAACTATTATAATTTTAAGTGTCATTCCCATTTCTCCCTGGCAGGCAGTTTTTGTGGAGTTTCAGACTTCCTGGTGAAGCACAGAAAATTGATCGAATGATGGAGGCCTTTGCTGCTCGATATTGCCAGTGTAACCCAGGTGTCTTTCAGTCCACAGGTACGACTTTTTTCAGTAGTAAACTTGACTTCTACGCGAACCCCTCTTTGTGGCCTAAACCCCTCATTGGCCTAAAGCTCTTACTCTGCATTAAAGGGTTAGTTCACCTAAAAAATTTAAATTCTGTCATTACTCACCCTAAACCCAAAGAGACTTTTGTTCTTCTTCGGAACACAAATTAAGATATTTTTGATGAAATCCGAGAGCTTTCTGACCCTGCATAGACAGCAACGCAACTACCACGTTCAAGGCCCAGAATGGTAGTAAGGACATTGTTAAAACAGTCCATGTGACATCAGTGGTTCAACCTTAATTTTATGAAGCTATGAGAATATGCGCTTTCACGAGAGTACCACGATGTATGCGTATGGTGCTGTTGACGCAGGAGTCACATGGACTATTTTAACGATGTCCTTATTTCCTTTCTGGGCCTTGAACGTGGTAGTTGCGTTATGGGTTTGGGATGACATAAGAAGTAATTAATGAGTAATTAATGACAGAATTTTCATTTTTGCATGCGAGTCTCTTGAATTACAGCACACTTTGAGTATCTGTAGGAAATCTGGTCCTCTGAGGGCTGAGCTTTATAACGGCAGGGATAAATAGCAGAGATGTTGGCACACACTGTTACTAGACTGTATAAAATGAAGCACCCCAGAAATGGACTAAAGACACTGTGCTAAAACAAAGCGCAAGGGAATGATTATTTATTCATAAACAGAGTCTGCAAATGTCCAAAGCATTAATATCTTTCTTTCAGCATGGAGTCATACATAAAGATGAAGAAATATTAAAAACTGGCCTGTATCTTGCATCAAACTCTATGGTTTCAGAATTTATGATTTAGAAGTCAACTCAGTACCGTTTCTAGGCATAGGCAAACTAGGCGGTCACCTAGGGCGCCACCAGCAGGAGGGGGGCGCCAATGAGCGCACGTACTGGCACTACATTTTAGCAGGGTTGTGATAAAGAGTGGCACGGCCACCCTGAAATATATTGCCACCCCCACTGGATTCCCCAACATCATTGGGCTAGAGTACTGTCAATCTGACAATGCCTATATGCCATTGGATCAGAGCGATGTCAATTGCTGCCGGATTGTTGCATGCAAAGTTTGCATTTGGAGTGCTCAACAACACCATTAGATCTATGGGTTCTGTTAATGCTTTGGCAAAGTAAGGTTTATTTTTTATTTTTATTTTTTTTAGCCTTGAAATAAAGCTAAGTTCAAAGACCAATTAAAAATATTGGTACAGTAAAAAAGTGCACAAAATTAGTATTTTGTTAAGGCAGTATTTGTGGCAGTCGAGAAATCACGCTGCAAAATTGGTCCAAAAGGTGTGCTTTTTTGCGCCAATGCATTGTTAAAGGATCAGTGTGGTGTGTGTAATATTCACATATAAAGATTTAACGGCCAATTAAAAAAATATTGGTATAGTAAAATTAGCTAAATCACAAGAAAGATCAATACATCCGATATTAAACCGCTTTGTTGAATTTAGCGTATCCTTACGGAAATGTTGAAATGCTGAATTAATTCATTCACTACTAACAGCACTTAATGGAAGCATATAGAGAGCAGAGTGTCACGTCATTTAAAGGGGAAGTTCACGCGTCAATGAGTAACAAAAGAATAAGTAGCTGGAGTCTGATTACTTTTATGTGACTGATCAAGCATTTTTATGTAGTTTGGGGTAACAAAGTTTTTTATAGGTTTGACTGAAATAATAATGAAAAAATGGACACTTTAAATCAACATTTAAAAAAAAAAAAAAAAAATCTAAACCTTTACAAAAAGTTGTCTTTGAAAATGTCTAAATATATATCCAAATCTACAACTGAACAAAAATACATTAATTGATTTGACTGGGGGGGAGGACATCTGTAAAATTGCAGATGTCCAGTCACTTTTGACCGTGAAGACCACAAGTGTGACTCCCAAATAACTTCGCGATGGCGCCGACGTTGATGGCTGCCTCCGTGGCATGCTCCGCAGTTGTTTTTATGTTTTTGTTAGTTTGTCCTGTCTTTAGTTATATCCCTGCAATCAGTTTCACCAGAGACGAATTGCTGGACATTCGGAAGTGTAAAAAAAAAAAAAAAAAAAAAAAAAAAAATTTTAAACAAAACAAAAAAAACACATAAAGACAAAAAGTAGTATCCAAATCCAAATGTAATAAAATTTATTGGGGTGGGTGCCAATTTGGATTTTGCCTAGGGCGTCAAAATGGCTAGAAACGGCCCCGAGTCAACTAATAAAAAATGAAAATGAGAAAACATAGAGTTGCATGCTTTTCATTCATTATCTTTATATGCATTCTCCATTTAATTTGCCAGTCTGGACCTACAGAGCTGACTGACTGATCCAAGTTTCTGCTCTCCACAGACACATGCTATGTTCTCTCGTTCTCCGTCATCATGCTCAACACCAGCTTGCACAACCCTAATGTCAGAGACAAGCCCACGGTGGAAAGGTTCATATCCATGAATCGGGGCATCAACGAGGGAGGAGATCTGCCTGAGGAGCTGCTCAGAGTGAGTCTCTGTGTCATACTGTGATGGAGAGAGCTGCACACTCATCACTAAGTTATGTAATGATAGAATATGCATTTGCATATTGTTTTTTTTTCTTCATAGAATTTATATGAAAGCATTAAGAATGAGCCTTTCAAAATTCCTGAAGACGATGGGAACGATCTAACTCACACATTCTTTAATCCGGACAGAGAGGGATGGCTGCTAAAACTAGGTTTGTATATCTTTCTATCTGTATGCCTGTCCATCTGCTCCTCTATCTAGCGTTCTTTCATGGTTTGAAACCCATGAGTTTCCCCATTATAGATTTGATTTAATGTGGTATTATCCAGCATCTCACTCAACAACTATTTTACATTATGGCTCATACAGCAGATTTGCTACTGTGACATCATTCAAAGTAATTAAAGAGCTTTTAAAAGATTTTTCCGGTGTTGATCAGGATTACATAGATAATGCTGTTATTGGCAGACCATTAAAACTTTTTTTTTTTTTTTTAATCCATCAAATGGATTTTGGAACTACACTAATTCCATGTCATGCAGTGATTTATTTACAGCATAAAAGTTCTGCCACTTTTTAAAGCACTTTTCCAATAGTTTATTTTTTGTTATTATCTGTATTTGAATTGCAGGGGGAAGAGTAAAGACCTGGAAGAGGAGGTGGTTCATTTTGACAGATAACTGTCTGTATTACTTTGAATATACAACAGTAAGTACAAGTCCTGTTTGGGCAATACATAGATTTAAGATTTATCTATAAAATGTATTAATGATTCAGATAGTAAGATATAGGTTAAAGGAGGTCAGATAGAAGAGGAAGTGAAGGAAAAAAAAATGAAGTGAACAGCAAAGAACGCAAGCAGACACAAGCACTTCTCACCAGCTTCACATTTACAATAAAGAAACACTCCGTGAAATGACTTGACGAGTACTTTCTTTTCTCTGTTGATGTATTTCTGACGTTTTGGCGGAACTTTTAACCACAATTTGCTATTTGTTAGTTTCAGCTGGTATTAAGGGAGGAACATTCTCATTTTAGAGCTTTTGATTCGACAAAAATATGTGTAGTGCAGGACGTGTCCTCAGTAAGCACATGTTAAATGGGTACACATGCTAAAAATGTGTTTATGAGTACACTAGTAGCATATATATGACCTCAAAGTGAATGCACTTGGACTAAAACCCAAAAAACACTCCTTGTTACAACCTCCCCGCTGTGTCATCTCATCAGCAAAGTGGAAGGAAATAATGCATTTTTTCCCTAGTCGTGTGCCAGATTTAGATTAAGAGACAGACAGTAGTTGCTTAATGTGCACATAGTTAGTTCCCTCACTTTTTTAATGTCCCCACCATCTATATCTCGTTAAAGGAAACATATTGCGGATTAAGTCTAAGACTAATTGCTTTAATACCAAATAAACATAGTGGATTAATGGTCTGTTACTCATATGTTCACAGGACAAAGAGCCTCGGGGGATCATTCCGCTGGAGAATCTTAGTATAAGAGAGGTGGAGGAACCAAGAAAACCAGTATGTTTCTACTTGAAGCGCTCAGTTAAATTATAATCTGTAGTCAGTCTTTAAGAAGAATCCTATATTTAGTCATCCTAAATTAGTCATCAAGAAATTAAGAAGTAAAAGGGACCGTTTCATGCTTCAACCTTTCAGAATTGCTTTGAGCTCTACAACCCCAGTCATAAGGGGCAGGTAATTAAGGCATGCAAGACGGAGGCTGATGGGAAGGTGGTGGAGGGGAATCACGTGGTTTACAGAATATCCGCACCCACGCCGGAGGAGAAAGAAGAGTGGATCAAATCCATCAAGTAAGGCTTCACCGTGTCAGCCCTCATTATTCTCTTCTCAGATAACGGATGTGTGCTGGTTGTAGGTCATACACACACACCCACAGATGCTCAGAAAGGTACATTGACTTCTCTTTATCATAGAACATCGCCATTGTGCTAAGATGAAGTGAGTGTTTCCAGTGTTTTAGACCTTGGCTGTGCACTGCAAAAAAATATTTTTGTCTTGTAAAAATATCTAATCCAATTTAAATTGCATTGGATATTAAGATTTGTTTTCAGATAATATATCTTGAATTTATTTATAGTATTTATAGATTTTTTAAGCACAATTCTAACAACATTTTGTGAGGTTTTTACTTAAAACAATACAATTGAATAAATATTATTGTTTGAGTGGATGCTAAAATCAATAATTCTTCTTCAAACTCTGAAAAAATCTTAGTATCACAATGTGGATTAAATGTAATTGTTTTATGTATGTTTTTACTGGAAAACAAGATAAAATATCGTAGTGTGGTGCCTATATAAACCTCACACTGTAGGGCTGACAAGACTATAATGAATTCTGAGTGACCCACATCCTCTGAAGGTTAAATGGTCTTCCCTGAAGATAAATCAGCATTTATCACTGGAGAAAGGGAAGCCAAAGACCACTTAGTCTCTTATTGTTTGCCATGACTCTGGCTTTGTTTTCCTGCCTAAAACAGACTTGATTGAAATGAATTGGAATACGTATGTTCGGGTCTTATGTAGTCTCTGAAGGCCATTTGTGAACAGTAGTTAACTTACAATGTAAGTGTCTAGTTAACACGTCCTCTGACTCAGCTGGAATTGTGGAACTGCTCTGTGGTCAGTTTAGCCTGGTGTTTTACATCAAAAGCTGCCTCAGCATGTCCTGTGGGACTGCCAAAAACTCTGTGCCACCCAACCCCTACATAAAAGAACCCTGTATCGTTTTATAATCAGGTCGACTGCTTCCAGAAAATACTGTTATTGTTTTATATGGATGTATATTTTTATGCTGTGATTGTACAGTTTCTGTTTTATTGTTGTTATCCTACAGGGCAAGCATTAGCAGGGATCCTTTCTACGACATGTTGGCTACTAGGAAACGGCGAGTGGCCACTAAAAAGTGAGCCGTAGACCTTTCGAGTTCAGGTTTAATAATCACTCTCCAAGTGGAAACCTTCACATGGGATCCTGAATGTTCTGGAGGTGACAGACAGAGACATGAGCTCTCTTGAGGATAAAGAAGGACAAGATTTAAAAAATGATGGGGTCTGTATAGGTCCTGAGGTAATGTAAGGGATGTGTACTAAATATTCGTTGCTGGAGGTGACAGACAGAGACATGAGCTCTCTTGAGGATAAAGAAGGACAAGATTTAAAAAAATGATGGGGTCTGTATAGGTCCTGAGGTAATGTAAGGGATGTGTACTAAATATTTCTCTCCAAATGGATTGTATGGGGAAAACAATGATGGTGATAATGCAATTACCGGTATATGCTGAATGTGTGTTTGTCAGAAAGAACTTTGCTTTAAGAGTGATGAATGATTCGACTGTGCTACAATATCTGCTTCATTTCATGTGACGGTCTAATATAGAGTAAGTAGCGCCTCCTGCTGCTTACAACAGGAACTGCTATCGCAAATGTCCAGGTATCGTTATGGAAATGTTCTCAAGTCAAAAGTCTACATTTAAGCTCTGGTAATGTTTAGATGTGGATGAAATGTATGTAAATTATACCAGACTGCTGGTGATGTCAATTCAGAAGTAGTCTATGGATACAGAAAATAGATTGATATGGCAGGGATTCATGCTGAATCATTTTTAGTGCTTTGGTATATCAAATATTGTCTTAATTGCATCAGTAGTTTTAAATGATTTTATTTTCATTTGTGTCATATCATTATCATCCAAATCAGCCGGACTGGTTGCATTAATTGGAAGAGAAAATTATTCATATTATATTAATTATGTTTCTTAAGGTCCTTAATAGACCTAGTATTATATAAAATACTGTAAAAATCCATTTCTGACCTTCTCTTAATAGTCGTCACCTTTATTTATATAGCTCTTTTAACAATACAGATTGTGTCAAAGCAACTGTACAGCATTAATTAGGAAAATATGCTAATATTATTTGATGCCTTTTTAAGAATAATGCTAACTCTATACTCTACACCCGTAATATAAGTTAATATAAGTATTTTGTTGTATTTATGTAATAATGCCAATGTTAACTGAACCTTTTTTTTTTTTTTTTTTTTACCATGTTTGTAAATAACACACACACACACAAATAATGTCACAAAAGCCATAATTATTTGTATTATTTGAACTATTTTGGAAACTCCATGGATCTAAAATTGATGTATATGCAATTTTTGTATACAGCTATTAAGCTGAGATATTTTAAGTGAAGGCTGTATAGCTCTGTAAACATGAAACTCATTATTTCTCATAGTTTATTGCAAAGTGTAAAGGAAATACTCATACACTGCGAAAAGATTCATTAATCAATATAATTTAAATTAAATTAACCACGGTCCACTGTCATCACTGTCCAGTTCCATGTAGGACAGCAATACTAATCATAGTGAAATACAGAGAATACGATTTATGACATAAATTCAACAAACAATGAGGCTCCCTTTTCTAAGTTTACCTGTTAAGACATAGACAAAACCATAGCGATATGCAACCAAACCCAGCTTAAAATCGAATACCTGTACAATTTTATGGAAAGTTTTTGGATATTATTATTATAATAGTTAATATAATAAGTAAAATATTGTCACTTGTATTCTGCTTAACATTTCTATGGTAAATATGCAGCATGCTCTGAAGACTGTATTTCAGAACCCTGTGTGTGTCAGTAAATAGTAATTCAGATATCTCAAATGAAACAGGTTTGTCATTACTGTCAATGAAGCCTTTGGCCCTGAACTCATGACCTCAGCAACTGACCTAATATAACATTTTTATTTTGAGATTCTGCAAAGATTTGACTTCATTAAGAGAAAGACACATAGCAGCTATATCTCCAATTATTCTTGAACTGCTTGTCCTGTATTGTACTGTCCTGCATCTCACTGCAACAGGTATCGCTGCAGCCCTCCACCCTCAATTTTACTCCACTAAATTGAAGGTCACCACATAATTGTGGCTCCCCCACTTTGAGGTCTCCAGGCTACAGTGCGATATACTTTACTTGGAAAGATGAGGCGGTGTACACCAGGGATCAAGGTAAATTGTAGATGCTGTAATTACACCATAGCTTTTTTTTTCTCCACTAATATTTGTACAGTTAGTAAATATGAGCCAACGGTCTGGAAAATGTCTTTACTGTCTATCCTTTCTTTTATTCAAAACACTCGCACCCTCAATCACAGCTAAATGATTCAAAATAAATGATTAAAAAATACTTCGTTCAACATTTTTCGTCAATATAAGAGTTCTGAGTCTTCTTGAAGAACATGTGGCCATCATTTCTTCATACAGCATCTTTAAATCACTAAACGAACCATTTTGCTCATATTAATAACGGATCCCAGTATTAGCCGAGGAAATTAATGTTTTTTTTTCTTTCTCATGTACTTAGTGAAAAGATTAAACATTTTGCATGTTATTGCTTTGCAAGTACTGTGCACCCTAATCTAGTAATTAATAATTTCGTGCAGTTCTATATTAAGCCGCTTTCAGTATGTTTTGTTTTTTTTTTGGTATTGAGATGTAAATAAATGACCATTATAGCCTGGTTTGCTGGTGAATAGGGCAAAAGCAAATTAAAGTCTGTCTTAAGCTATGCGTTACGATTACTGCAATGTAGCTGAAACAAAAAAGTGCAGCACTTTGACATTAAGATATTTTTCACAAAACAAAAATCTCACAAATCATTCTTTATATGTAAAAAGGAAACCCCACCCTTTACAAAACCAAACACTTCACATACATGTTCATTCACTCCAACAAAATGTTGTAAACATAGTGAGAGAAAATATTACAATTTCAGACATTAAGGCCGTTTCCTCTCACTCAACATATTGTACACTGTATACATTTACTTTGACATGCTACAGTAAAATGAAGTTGAATATAACCATTTTTCATGTCGGTTTCGTTTTGCTGAAGAAAAAAAAAAGTTGACATGTTAAGAGAACATGGTCTACATTACGAGTGGCTTTACAGAAAGTGTCTCTATTGAACTCCTGATACAGGACCAAAAACAAACAACTGATAGTACAGTTCAACTTAAATTCACAGTATTATCTTGACTAAAATCAAAGCGGATTCAAGAAAACGAAACAGTGAGAATTAAAAACAAAAAAGATGCAATGAACTTGCATTCTAGATAGGTTTGAGGAATTTCAGATAGAGAGTAATACAGTGAGACGCTAAAAAAGGAGAGGTACAAGAGACAGCAAAGCAAACATCTTATGTCCTCAAGTGTGTCCAGGTTAACTGATGTAAGTGCACATGTAGCATTAGCAAAGGCTGCTCCTTTGAGACAGTTCTCTCAACCGATACGTGAAAATGGTGACATCATAGCTTGAAGCCAAGAGACCAGCAGTCTTTCTCCACCGATGCAGCATATAAATGTTCTTGTCGTTCCCAGGTTCGATTCCTTAAAGGGAGCGCTTGTCTCATCTTCACAAGTGAGAAAATCCTGAGTCTGTATGTCTGAGCAGCAATTCTGATGTTAAGCTCCAGGCTTTTGTTTTAATCGCATATATTAACTTTATATAGATTTTTTTTCCATGATCAAAGTTCGTTTATGTACAGTGTACTAAAAAAATCCATAGCCTTAAAAATAAAGAAAAACGGAAAAAAAAAATAATGAAACTTTAAAATTCATCTCGTGGTAAAAATACAGTATGTTCTAAATGTTAAGCACCATGTCAGGAACTGTAGCTGTAGATTTTGTTTTTCACATGCTTGCATGGGTGGTTTTCAGAGTCTTCAAATAAAGAGAGAGGGGACGATTAGAGCGGAGCTTATTTTGTTTAAAAAAATTAATAAAATATAAAAATGTCTTACCTTTAGTGAGGATGTGTGGCTTTCTGTGAAAACCAGAGAACAGTCAGAGTTGTGCAACTACAACAACAACCATAAAAAATACATACAAAATGAATGCATGTATATTGCAAGAAAAACAAATTAGTTTTTGAATTTCATAATTGTATATATTTTTATTACATTATACTCACTTCAACATCTGAAAGGGTCCTGTGACATACATCTCCATTTCCATTTGAGAGTGTCTTTGTGCCGTTGACAGTGGTAGAATAATCAAAATATTTGTATTTGTCTTTATCCATCCCAGTATGCTCAAGCTCACTTCCACTGTAACAGCTCAGGCCATTAGCTGAAGGAAAAAAAAAAAAAACATTACACAAAAAGCATTAGTTAATTTTTTCTCACAAATGACATTTACATGTGAATGTGCAATACTGTGCCAAGATCAAAAGTGTGATTGTGGTTGTATGCGAGCCTGGGGAGGGTTTGCGTAAAATCCAGATCGCAAATATGTAGTCAATTACCGGCAAACCAGTTCAACCAATTTAATTCTGTATGTATCAGAAGATACCATCAGCTTACTTGAACATTTCCGTGTTAACACTGCTATCTGAAAGAGACTACTAAGCTTTGATCCATGCAATGTGAAAAGTCACAAAGATAAACCATATCACTCAAAAGGCCCTGTTTATATCTTCTATATGAAACACAAACACATTTTTTTTCTGGCACATGATGGAAAATAAAGACAGCATGGGTTATTTGTAATATTGATTTCAATATTTCAATCAAAAAGCACCTCAACATCCAAATTAAATCATTACTGCAAAATAATGCAAACTATAAATGTTTGTATATTACTTCATATGTATGCGTAATATTTAAACTGCATTCAGCAGTGCTCACTGGAAAATACTTTGGGGGGGGGAAATGCATTTAGCTGCCATGAAAATATCACCACAATGCAAATTTTAATGTTAAATTCATGCTTTGGTTTCTTTTTCTCCATTTGATTTAAGTGTGAAAAGTGACCTAGATGAGTAAAAATGTGCAAAACAAAAGTACGCTATTGCCTGAAGCATGCTTTGCTGCTTCTTTGCTCGGTCCAAAAAGACATCAAGTCTAAGCTGTTAAATATTAAGCACCTTTGTGTCTATTGAGCTGTTGCTGGTCCTCCATATGGTCTTGGTGGACATTGTGAAGAGACTCAGAGCTGTGGTGCAGACTTCCTTTCTCTGCACCATTCCTAGCTCTAGAATCATGCTCTTCCCGCCTCGGAGTGACGTCTCTCCTAGTGTGAGGCCTCTCCTCATCCTCCCTCCTCTTCTTTTTCTTCTTCTTTTTATGTCTCTTTGAGCTGCTATCCTCAATGCCCTCAGATGGGTCCTTCTCTGAGTGCCTGTAAGTGAAAAGTCACAATGAGCACGATTCCATGCACACCAGTAAGCTGATAACTCACAAATATCGGCTTATTAAAATAACCAGTTTTCCCCGTTTACATGCACATCAGTAACCTGACAACACAAGTAGCTGCGTTTACATGACTAAATGAATAAATCAGGTTATTTTCCTGTAGTGACGTCGAAATATAATCATTTGTGTATCTGACTCAGAGTATTCCATACATTTGTCAGTTGAGATGTTAAATAAAGCTTGCAACATGTCAGCGGGAAACTTACAGCTATAAATACAGCATTTTGACTGAACCACTTCTACTTCTGCTGCACGAGATGAGAACACATTTTTATCATTTTCTGAGTCACGGAAGAGTCTGCTTTTGTGATACATTTCCTTCTTTCTTCACTGCAAGATGTTTGCTCTGTGTAGACGCGCTTAAATCTGCACTAACCATGCGTTCCAGTCACGCATCACAGATGCGCACTTTAATAAACCAACAGAAAGCAAGTTATTGTGTCGACATGCCACGCAAAATCGGAGTAAGAGGCAAAAAACTACCTGTGTCGACCGGTTTATGCTTACGCCGTTTATGACCCAACTCCGATAAAAGAAAACGGGTTACCGCGTTTACATGACCACGTGCGTTTTCGGTTTATTAAGCATAATCGGCTTAAGAACATGCACGTAAACGCGCTCAATGATAATTTGACTACCCTGGTATTTCAATAGTCAATGGTTTTAAATTCTCACCCAGTCAAATATTAAATGGTCAATGACAAATACATTTTTCAAACAAAAGTTTTTCAAATTAAAAAGCAGTGAAGCAGCTGTTAAAATATTTTTATAAGAAATTATAATACAAGACCATTTAAGATTTTCTTGAATAAATCCAGAGCAAAAGTAACAGTAACAAAGTATTCTAGTAAAAAATTACTCACCTGTGCCTTTCTTTGTTTCTCTTTTTCTTTTTGTATTTCTTCGCTCTGCACTCATCAGAACTTTGTCTGGCATCAGCCGATGGACTGCGTTTCCGCTTGTAATGTCGGGGCAGTGGGCTGACAGAACGTGGAGATGAGGGTCTTACTTTTGAACCATTCACTGTATGGGACACCCTTCCATAGCCACCATCCACCCCACGATGGCTGTGACTGGAATATCCATCCCGGTTATGGTGTCCAGAAGGACGATAAGAGTCATTCACAAATCTCCTATCCCTACTCCGGTCGCGTTCCTCTCTGGGTCTTCTTTGGGAATAGTGGTGCTCTCGACGATGTGAGAATCTGTCCCAGTGATCTCTGTGATGCCGGTCTCTACTGGTGGAACGCTCTCTAAAGGGACAACTCTCCCGATTGCCATGACCATAGCGGCTCCGGCTTCTTTCGTTGTATTCCCTATAGTGTCTGTACCGGTCGCTGTCTTTCACAGTTGAAGATAATTGTGGGCACTCTAAAACCCTATTCCGGTCATCGCTCCGTCCATCTCCAGAGCCAAACTTGTCTAAGTGTGATGGCTTGGACTCTTTGCTTTCTCCTTCACTGCACCTGATCTCTTCCTTTAACCTGTGTGGACTTGTATGACCATCACCAATATGAAGGCTGAGACTGTTGTTGCCCTGAAGACCTGACATGCCAGCCTCTGCATGGGCGTCATGGCCCTGAATCAGCTCATCTTTTGAAGCTGTCTGGGCATGAAGGTCAGTGTCTGTAGTCTTTGAGACCAATGATGCATCAGATGAAGATGCAGACTGTACCTGTGAAGCAGACTGAGATGAAGAGTCTGAAGAAGGGTTCATACTTTTTCTTGAAGGTGAGAAACATGTCTGGCCATCAGTACTTGGTGGTTTGGAGCTGCTGGATGGATAAATAAATGAATTAATGAAGAAAACCCAAAGACGGTTTAGTCCATCAGAAACTCGCCAATTCTAAAAATTAATAACTAGGTATATACTGATATTAAAGTTAGGGCCGATACTGTTAAGCATTTTTTATTTTATGGCCAAAAAAACCATAAATGGCCCATAGGCTGTAACCTAAAAGTTTCTATAAAATAACCCCTGTGCATAATGTGACCAGTAATGTCTCAATTGTCAACAAATCACCTGTTGTGTGGACTGACATTTACAGAATAAAAAAAATAAAAAATAAAAAAAGTTTTACATTTTTAAAAGGCTAATAATACTTTGTCACAATTCGAGTTACCAGCCCACAAAACAGAACACAAAGTAGCAAATCTCCTAAAACTAAATCTCCTGCATGAGGTAAACAAAACTATTTTCTCATGTAACACAAGCAATAAACCATTAGTCATTCTGAGTTAAGGCATTTAAGAAAAAACAAAAACATGTTGACACGCAGATCAACATGTTAAAGGTGCAGTAGGAGATCTTGGAAAATGCTAACTTTAGCCTGATAGCACTGAAAGTGAACGTCCCACCCTCCCTGCAATCACCGTCCAAAGCCACGCCCCCTGAACACATATACGCTCACAGACCAGAATACGAGAGACAACATTACTACAATATATATATATATATATATATCATATGCACAAAAATGTGTGTTTGCAGTACCACAGCCAGTGGTACTCTGTGGTGGTGGGGCAGCTATAATCGGCACAGTCCTAATTAAAATTATATTCTAAACTGATCATTCTAAATGCTACAAGCAGTCGTTATTGTTAATCATGAAAACTTGTACAAATTACATGTTAAATTAAATAATGTTAAAATAAAATAAAACAAATATTAGATGAAAAACTTAAATTAGATATGCTGCCTTGGCAACCACCTGAAAAAAAAACAGCTTAAGTTGAAGTACTAAAATGACTAAAACTGAAATAAAAACTAAAACAAATTAAAATGAAAACTGATAACAAAAATAAAAGCTAATTCAAAGTATTAATAAATACTATAATATTATTTCTAAAATAACACTGGCTACAAGTACATTTAGGCATCAAAGCAGTGTACATTATGAAACATGGATATTCATTACGAGATCAAACACCACAGTTAAATAATAAAAAATAAAAAAA